AGATGAGTGGAAATTTGAAAAAAAAAGAATGCTTTTTTACAACTTACACGAACTTCCTTTTAATGTCCATTTCATTTTTCTATTCTGTATGGCAATGAAAGTTTTAAAACCAAAGACTATCAAAGTTTTACGTTAAAAAACAAATTTTTTTGGAGTTTCATTTTCTCATCATTCTCATCATTCGCCATCACTCTCATAAGTGAGATGAGGTTAGTAACAATCGAGGGGAGGCGCGTAATTAAGATGAGGTTAGTTACATTCGAGGTCCCTTCGCACCTCGACGCGAAGTAATGTCAGTCGTGACTAAAGTCCCACACCCTGGAAGGGTCCCACACTCTGGAATTGTGAACAGAATGGATGTGCACAATTCCGCCTTTCAGAAACACTGCAGATACTCTATACAGCGGCATTACCATAGTTTCTGGACTTCTGAGTTAGCGATTACTAAAAACTGGTAGATCTAGTAGTTATTGCCGCGTACCCGAGGCCAGCGCAGTTTCTTCTTCCCCTTCAGACTCAATGAATTGTATTAATAAAATAACTTACCACCAAAAATACTACCGAGTGGTCCCAATAGACCGCCGAATAATCCGCCGCCACCACCACCACTTTTGCAGCAACAGCAGCAAGGAGGAGGACGAGGAGGAGAAACAGGAGGAATAGGTGGAGGGCAGCAACATTTTTTTCCACCACCACCAAGACCAAAAAGACTCCAAAAAATTGATTCTGATGGGGTGACGCTCAACAAAAGTATTACGACCAGAAGTACGATATTGAATTTCATCTGAAAAGAGCTGTAGGTTAATATTGGTCAGCCAAGATGAATAAAAAACCTTAAAGGCATGGGCAGGCTTTAATTGCAGACTGTCGAAAAGGTTTGTAGACTTAACAAACCGTTCAATGTGTTGGGTGGTTTTTGAAAAACCGCTGTCAATAGGTACAGTACTCTCAGATGTATTCTGATTTTTTTGCCGACGAGGTTATTAGTTAGGTGAAAACTCATAGTGACTCTGTTTCGCTCACACTGTTGTGGGCTGGGTGAGTTTATTTTCCTCGTTGGTGTTTCTCCGTCTGTTCTCCCTAACGTTCCATCAGAAACGCTTGGAAGAGGCGTTTGGCGGTTTAGAGGATATTGCTTGGACCTTGGGCATTTAGGCCTTCGAAAAAGACGTTACCGTCGAAACGTTGGGTCACTAGTGAAGTTTCCACCTAACAACCTCGTCTGCACAAGGATTACAATACATTCATCAATGGTGTACAAATGCCGAGGTATACGAAGAGGGATGCTGGAATATACTCTCAGATATTTTTCGGTAACATCTACAGTAATTGGATAGTTCTAGCACCCACAACTCTGTGTAGTCTAAAGCCAGACTAAGAATTTCTTGACTTCCAAACATAGGATACATGAGAAGGTGCACAGGGAGAAGGCGAAGGATGGAAGTAGCGGTCTCTCTTGGGAAGGCAGGTGAAGGGGAAAGGTCACGACTGAGATGGTTTCGCTGTTTAAACAGGTTGAGCATATCAAGGCAAAATGGCATGACCAAAAAAAAAGAATGAGAGTTGATGGGTATTTTTCCGCTCATTCATCGAGTATTTCACTTTTTGGATTGGAGTAACGGTGAGTAACGGTTTCCCCTGAATGAGAAGAAAGAAAGTGGCCGCTGCAGTGTTGCATTAATTGGATGATGATAAACCTTTGAGGGCAAGGTAGGTTCAGAGAACATTGGGCATTAAATTCGAGCTCTGAGGGTCTGACTTCCCTTCCTCTACAGTGCGTAGTGAGATCTGGGACTTAGGCTCGATCTCGGCAGTGGAGATGTTTCTGAGACGTGTCATGAGACCGCTTCTGTTAGGATCACCGAAGGAATGATTGAATGGGCAAGATGGATTATACAGTTTCGAATTCCTAGGTGCATGCCACTATCCCCGAAGAACGACTGTGAAGAGCAGACAGTTGGGTAGGGAATAGCCATGCAAGGTATCAAAAGAGATATAGCGTTACAACAGGGATTGTGCTCTAGATTCATATCCTGATGCGCGATTGCAAAAAAGTAACTCGCTGATGGAAAAGTCTCAATTTCGCTCTTGAGGAATACAGTGCGTTTCATAATTATAAGGTCACCCCAGATTTTTGCGATTCTGGAGAAAGCAGCCGGAATGGAATTTTTTGGCGAACACTGGAAGATTCCTTGTCACAATGTACCTCCGTACTCAAATTTTGGTCGCAATATCCTTCACCTCAGATTTTTTACGAATTTTTTAAAGATAGTGTCGGCTTCTGCACCGTTTCATAATTATAAGGTCACCCTGAGAAAGTAAATGATTTATTAATGTCGGTGGCATATGCACACCACTTAATATTCTATAGCTCCTCCTTGTTTAAGAGCAATATCAAAGAGCCTGTGTGGCATACTAGAAACTAAGTTTCGAAGAGTTCCTCATCGATTGCTCTCTATGCTTCGATAATCGCCCGATTCAGCTCTTCTGTGCTCTGGAACTGACGGTTATTCGCACAAACCTGTCTGACTATTATGC